CGTCAATCAGGATCATGTCGACACTGAACGTGTTGGTCATGTTGGCTAGGTCTGTCCAGGATATGTTTGCCTCTTCCTGGCCCGAGTGTCCATGGGTTGCGCGAGCTTCTTTTAGACCTGGCTCCGTGATCCGGACGACAGGTAGTCGTGGCCCTTGGCACAGAGGTTTACAGTGGCAGGGGCTGCGGTATTTATTGTCGCCCTTGCTCTCTACATAGGGCAGGTCCATCTTGATCAGCAGTGAGCAGCCCTGCTGGAGATGACGCGTAAGCCGCGCATGCTCGTCGTGCCTCTGGGCAGCTTGATCCCCTGCATGCCAGTGAGGTGGATGTCCATGTGCTCCAGTCGGTGGCTGATGACGTCAATCCTTGCGACCTGCCTCGACTGTCTTCTGTGGGCATGGCTTCCTTCTTTGAAGCTGCGCACGTTGAACGTCATCGCGCTGAGGTTGACGGTCATCTCCGTGCTGGTCTGTTCTTGTCTTGGTTCAAGGTGTTGTGGTGCCGTTGTGGCCGTAAGTGGTGTGGCTGTCATACCATGTTCGGCAACGTTAATTAGGGGATGCCGTCAGAGATGCGCCGTCTGACTGTAATATGGATTCCCGTCGTCGCTGGTTGTTGGCGTCGAGTGCATCGTTCCAATCTGGTTGTTGGCATGCTTAATGACGTAAGCTCTGCCTCTTGGCTATTGGGTAGGAAAGTTCATTGCATGTGTGCCCTTCGTTTGCGTAGACGGGGCCAGTGTGTAGGTGAGTGGCGCTCGACGTTAGCTGGTGAATCTGGTTAGTAAGCGCTGTCATATCATACCTGCGGCGTGGTATGTAGTTGCCTTTCGCAAGGCCGATCGCTACATTTGAATCCGTACGCGCTGTTGTTGTCGCGTTGTTGTTGGTGGATCCCTGGTTGCATATCCACGCGTATGCTCATATCAGCGCTGACAATTCTGCTATAGTTGAGGTCGATTTCTCTAGGTCGTTCAATGTAGAGCCGGGCGGTCTAGCTGCCATTGTGCCGACGTAGGCGAAGGAATCCTCGCCTTGCATAGTGCTGACGACTCCCATGCGGTGTTGGTTGAGTCGGTTTGGTGTGTGCCGTCGGTGTATAAGTGGATCCGCTCGACGGTTCCATGGGTCCTTGGTTGTGTGGTTGTGTTAGTTCCATCGCCATGATGGTGACTGGGCGGAACTTCTCGGGTTCACGTAGATCGGGAAATGTGGCTGTGAGGTCGGGCGGGGAGGTGCGCCTGAGGACGTCGGCGATCGACTCGGTCATTGCGAAGGTGGATAGAACCGCTTCTGTTGCTTGACGTTTCTCTCTATGGTCTCCCGATGTCGTTACCTCTCGCACGGGGCAGGGTCGGGTATCGGTAGACCGTCGTGCCTGGTGGGCGCGGTTGCCGCTTTGGCAGGTCCTTCAGCAGTAGCTTGTGATATGTTGTCCCTGCAGTTGTAAGGACTTTCCGCCACATCCGCCTGAGGTGTGTCGTGCATTCGTCGAGTATGGAGTCGGTATCTTGCATCCTCCTCCAGTCCTCGAATAGTTCGAAGCCGCGTCCCATCCCTAGCCCGTGCTGTTGTAGTGGTGCTTTGTGGTTCCGTCGAATTTGGCAGTGGTGGTAGCCGTCGTGCGTACACTACGTCGCCTACCACTGCCCTGAATGTTAGAGCTGCTCGGTTTATTGGACCGTCGGAACGGTGCCATAGCAGGTCCTCTTGTTTTTGTCGGGGCTTCGTTGTGCGCCCGTCTTAAGTTTCCTCCCCGATGGCTGTTGGAGTGGGTAGTTGTCCCATTTCGGTGGGTCTCGCCAGTCTGGGTCGGTTACACGTAATAGTGCTCCAGACTTCACCATGCGCTGCGTGGACTGACCCTCGTCTGTCGCCGCGTCAATACCGTCAGATGGAGTCCGTTGGGTCTCCACCTGCGTCGGCTGCGTCGTCGCTGGTGGCAAGATCGGTTGGTGTGCTGGCATCAGGTGCTACCGCGACAACGATGTGGTTCGTTTGGGTCGATGGTCGCCTTTCTGATTCTTCGCGCACTTGAGGTTTGTGCGGGTGGAGCTGTGCGCTTGCGCGTTGGCGGCAATGATGAGCCCCGGCCAGGTGTACTGATGAAGCGTCGTTGTGGGCTGATAGCGTGTGGCGTCATCTGTTCGGTTGGAGTGATGCCGTCACTCCTCCTCGTAATTTGCGACGGGGTGTCGACCGAGATGACCTCTTGCGTGGATGGGTCATGCTGAGCTGGAGGTATCGCGCTGTCGGTCCGCGCTGCAGCCGCAGGACACTCCTGCTCGTCACCGGGAACGTGTGCCGCCTGTGGTGCCCTGTCCTTGATGCCCGTGTTGCCCTCGTCGGGGTAGACATGTGGTACACGGCTCGTTCGTGTGCGATTGGTTGTGGCAAAAGAGTGGCGTGCAAGTCAAACTCCCTGGCCATGTCGTCGGACTGCGATTGCGTGGGCCGTGTGCGTCCGTCCTCAAGCAGATGTTGTGACATCGGCTGCACGGGCGGTAGGAACTGATGTAAGCCTTCGCCGTCCGTAGCGATAGGCGTGTTAAGGGTCTGCCAGAGAGCGCCCACCATCTCCGTGCTGTTGAGGCGTTCTTGGACTTTGTCGCACTCTTGTCGGGCTTGACGGTATTCTTCGGTTGCATCCTCGGTGTGCCTCTCGCAGGTAGTCCTCACTTTCCTCCATTGGGCTTCCCCTTCGCGGCGGATTTGTTTTTCTTGTTGCGTGCGTGGCGTTGCTCTGCCGTGCCCAGTTCCGCCCTCTGTTCCATGAGCTATACTCGTCCTCCGGCCTGGAGCACGTTGTAGTGCGCTTGCCGATCGTACGTGTTCATGTCGGTGAGTATTCTTCGTGTGTGCTCCTGCTGTCGAGCATGTCGTTCCATGTCGGTGACTCGCTGTTGGTATTCGACTTGTGCATGTTGGATGGTGGCTTCCGTGTGCATCTCCTCATTCTCCGCGTCGCCCCATGTATTGCACAACAGGGTGTGATCGTTGTACTATTTGGCGTGCACCTCTGCCGCCTTTGCTTCTACGTGCGCGATCTGCTGCTGGGCCTTGAATGGTCATGTTGTAGTACTTTTGTCTTTCGTCCGCAATAGTTGTCGCCTCTCTTACATGCTGCTCCACGTTGACACGGTCGCCGTTGCTGTCGATGAGTTTCTTCTGTGTCTTTTGGAGTTCCTCCTTCAGCTTTTCAGTCGAAGGTGTACGTGGGAGGAGGTTGTTGGCCTCTGTCTTCCGCAAGGCCTCCTCCAGCTCCTCTTTGGTCTTTTCGAGGGCCGCCTCATTTCGCATAAGTATGTATTGGTGGTGGGATGTCATCTTCTCGGTTGTCTGTTTGGGACTCTGTATTTCCCTCAGGAGCTCGTCGTGGTACCCTTGTGCCCTGGTTGCTTCTGTGTGCCGGTTGCGTTCATGTTTTTGAGCTGCTTTTTCTGCCTTTCGAAGGTGATGTTTGAGGTCTTGGATCTCGTTGTTGGCGTCGGTCTCGTTTGTCTTGATGCCGTAGGCCATGCGCCGATTATCCTCCTTGAGGTTCCTGAGCAAGGTGCCGACGTCTTGACCTTCTTTAGTCTCCCCGGCCCTCGTTTGCCTCCTAGGCGCTGAGGTGGGTACTCTTTTTTGCGGTACCTCGCGTTGTGTTCTTTTCGGCCTCGTCGTCGGCAGCTTCGTGTCGCTGTACCAGGTCGTCCGTGGCGTTGCTGATGTCCCGCTGGAGAATGGTAAGTTCCTCGATCTTGTTCTCTAGCTCGCTCGTGTAGACCTGTATATTTTGTAAGCGGTGCTAGCTGTGCTCGTAGGGATCCTCCATGGTCTGCTTTGTTGTCTCGATCTCACTGGCCTGTTAAACCAGTGGCATACTGTTAAGGATCACGGCCTTGATCAAGGCGATCTGTGCCACGGCATCCGTCGTAGGTAGTCGTGCTGCACTATGTTTGGCAGTGGCCGTTGCAGACCGCCTCATCTCGATGCGTTTGACCTTCTTCCAGTCGCCCCTCAGCTTGGGGCCGTTGGGCGGTAGCTCCCAGTCGTGCCTCCTGGAAGCGTAGATCCTCTACGTTGCTGATGGTGTTGGCGATGTGGTCGTTGTAGTCATGAGTAGATTCCTTCTTTGTGTTCTGCTGTTCTCCATGATAAAATTGATGCTTTGTGTTGCCCTTGCCCTCGTTGGGCTTCTCCTTACCTTTCGGGGTCCAGTTGTCGGGCTCGCTGTCGTCCTTTACCATCTTTCCTTTACCTCTGTAGTTGTTGCCCGTGCCGCTGTTGTTGTTGTGGCTGTGGCTGTGGCCCCAGTTATTGTCGGGGTGCTCCTTGGCCCACTGGTCCGTCCAGTTGTGGTTCGTCCAGCGTGCGAGTCCCGCTCCGATTGCCGGCGTGGTGGTTCTCGGCGTAGTTGGTCTGTTTTGTGGGCGGTTCGATGTTGTCGTCCAAGGTGGCAGTGCCGTTCACGATCCGCTCGCAGTTGCACTCCATGACGTCGCCATGGTCGGAGTTTGTGGTGGATGTCGTGGTGGCTGCTGGGCACTGGTCCGCGGCGAGGAGCTGGCGTGCGGTCTAGAGTTGGTGCTGGATGTCGTGTTCAAGAAGGTCTCGTGCAGCGGCGACTCGTAGCAGCACTCGTGCTTGAGCTCGCTATTCGCGTAGCCGACGGTGCCACGTTGGGTTGGTCGACGAAGTCGTGGTGTCCTGATGGGAAGAAGATGTAGTCGAAAATAATGCAAAAGGCATGGCTTGGAAATGGATGTAAAATGGAGGGGAAGTAGTGCGGCTTTACGGTCGAGGCTGGCCCCCTAGGGCTGGCACATTGCCGCGGCTTTCCGGGCCCGAGGCTTCCTCATTCCTCCTCTTCTTGCTTCGTCCTCCTCCCCCCCCTGCTCCGTCCTCCTCCTCCTCCTCCGTCCTTCTCCTCCTCCTCCTCCGTCCTCCTCCTCCTCCCCCTCCTCACCCTCCCGACACTGCTATCGCAGATTTACTTTGCAACTTGCCCCTGCAGGTTGACCTGTGGGCCAAGCGGCAAGAGCTTGAGATGTTCCTGGTGCACCCCAGCTTCGAGCCCGCACAGCGCGCCCACGTGCTCGAGCGCCTCCGGGAGTGGCGCCAGCGCGGCGTGCTGAGCGCCATGAGATACGATTCCAGGCTGATGGAGGAGGGGGGGGAGGTGGGAGGAGGGAACTGGACAGGAGATGGGGGGATGAAGGAGAAGGGCTGGGCTCCTGGGCCCAACCATCTCCACCTCCTCCTCCTCCTCCTCCTCCTCCTCCTCCTCCTCCTCCTCCTCCTCCTCCTCCTCCTCCTCCCCCTCCTCCTCCTCCTCCTCCTCCTCCTCCTCCTCCTCCTTCTCCTTCCTCCTCTTCTTCGTCCCTCTCCTTCTCTCCTCCCACTCCTTTGTCGCGAGCCGCGCCAAAGTTAACCTCCTTCTCCTCCTTCTCCTTCTCCTCCTTCCCCCCCCCCCCCTCCAATCCCTCCTTCCTCCCCTCCTCCTTCCCTCCGGCCCCCACCCGTCTTGCCCCTCCTCCTCCCCGTTTTCCTCCGAGCTCCTCCCCCGCCTCCTTGTCCTCCTCCTCCTCCTCCTCCTTCTCCTCCTCCACCTTCCTCCTCTCCTTCCTCAGCTTCTTCGTCCCTCTACTTCGCTCCTCCCCCTCTTGCTTGTCGCGGGTCGCGCAAAACTGAACCCACTCCTCCTCTTCCTCCTCCTTTCCTCCTCCCCCTCCTCCTCCTACTCATCTTCCTTCTCCTCGTCCTCCTCATCATCCTCCTCATTCTCCTCCTCGGCCTCCTCCTCCTCTTCCTCCTCTACCTCCTTCTCCTCCTCCTCCTCCTCTCCTCCTCCTCCTCCTCCTCCCCTTTTCTCCTCCTTCCGTCCCCCCCCCCGCATCCCCGTCCTTCCTCCCCCCCTCCTCCTTCTCTCCTCCCCCCCGCCTCTTTTTCCTCCCCCTCCCCCTCTCCTCCTGCTCCGCCGCCTCCGCCTCCTCCTCCTCCTCCTCATCCTCCTCCTCCTCCTCATCATCATCATCATCCTCATCCTCATCCTCATCCTCATCCTCATCCCCCTCCTCCTCCTCCTCCTCCTCCTTTTCATCCTCCTCCTCTTCCTCCTTCTCCTCCTTCTCCTCCTCCTCCCCCTCCTCTTCCTCTTCCTCCGCCTCCTCCTCCTTCTCCTCCTCCTCCTGCTCGTGCTCCAGGCCGAGCGACAGCATGCCCACCGATGCCCACATCCTGGATATCGGCGGCGCGCCCAACGGGGGGCGGGGCGCGAGGAGGAACTTAGGGCTTCAGGATTATACGAGGAGGAAGGTTCTAGGATCTAGAAGGATTCGAAGATTCTAGGGGAGGAGGAGGAGGAGGAGGAGGAGGAGGAAGAGGATTCTAGCATCCTAGGTTGGCCTCGTGCGCGCCCCGAAAAGGAGCGAGGTCCAGGCAGAGAGAAGGGCGGCTGCCACCGACGCGACGGCGGCGGCGGACGGCAACGGCGAGGATGAGGACGACAGACGAACGAGCGCAGCGACGACGACGGCGGCGGCGGCAGCAGCCGCAAGAGGAAGCCGACTACAGCGGCTACTTGACGGGGGCTTTACCCTGCGAGATTAAGCAGGCATGCCGCTCAGCCTCATAGTTGAGGCGTCTTGCAAGGCGTTTCCAGGATCAGAAGAGGAGGTGGACGCAGAAGCCGATGACAATGGAACCGCACCTGCATCCCAGGGGTCGCTGGCGGCGCGGCGATCAGCTTCGCCATCCTCGCGGTGAGTTCTGTACACATCCTCCTCCCGTGGCGCAAACCCCCGCAGCAGCAGCAGGATGCACAGCTTCTTGAGCCGGAGGCGGAGTCGTCGTCGGACCGAGGTGTGAGCGCCAGGTTGTATTCCCTTGAATCGACTAGCTCGAGGAGGAGGAGAAGGAAGAGGAGGAGGAGGAGGAGGAGGAGGAGGAGGAGCAGCAGGAGGATCAGGAGGAGGAGGAAGAAGAAGAGGACACGCTCACGACTGGATGCTTGGGTGACTTCGCCGCGGCCTCACCGCGATGAGCTGCGAGGCCTTATGCCCCTGCACTGCCTGCACTGATCTTGGCTCACTCTTCTCTGGCAAGCCTGGCCATCGGGACAGGGGGCAATTGGAGCACTATGGGAGAACTCTTGTTGCCCTTGGGGGGTCTACCTTCCTGGGCTCTGGCCAGCTGTGTGGCTCTACCCTGGGAAGTCACACTCCTGTTGCAAAAACTGGGCAGCCCTCTGCCGCCACACTCTGCATAGGAACCGCACCTGTGACAGACCAATAAACTGGCTGGGATGTCCAAGTGCCCATCGTAATGTAAATCGTGGCCTCTCGGATCACTCACCAAGCACTAAGTGCTTGGCATAAGTCTGGGGTAACTTCGAGCCACGTTTCTAAGCCTGACGGGGGCCATGGGGCCCAGGGCAACGCGGTCATCGATGTTCGGAACCAGCTGGCAGTGAGCCAAACTAGAGGTTGGCCAAATCCCTGAGAGCTGATCTGCTTCTACTCGCAAAACATGTTGAGGCGGCCCTGTAAACAGAGGTTTATACTGGACCGAAGCTGGGCGCCGAGCTTCGAGTTTTTTCGTCCATATGCGTGCCCATCCCATTCCACCCTTCGCGTTGGACTGCACCCGTCTCCCCCATTCCTTCCCGACAGCAGCGTGCTCGGCAGCCTGCTCCTGATGCAGTTGGTTGGTGACCTGCTCGAGCAGATCATCCAGCACCTCGAGCGCCAGCCACTGGTCAAGCGTGCCTGCGCAAAAATCATCATGCAACAGTCCTGCTGCAACTCGGATGCCCTGAAGCCCCTCACGCAGGGGCTCGGCGGTTGAGAACAGCTCCGGGCCATCCTCGAGGCCGTCCATGCAGTCCTGGACCCCTTGCAAGCCCCAATCCTGAACGCTTCGTCTAAGTCTTGAGCTCGATTGCACAACCACCTGACGGGCCTGCGTAGGCCACCAACTTAGACTGCCCCGAGCGCACGCGGCCTCAGCAGGAACCAGAAGGATCGGGAGGGGGCCTGGGAAACCCTGCTGAGTTGTTTGCTGTGTGTGTGTTTCTCCAACCCTCCTCGGTTGGGCATTCGTTTTGAATACAGCACCGCGGTCGCGTCTCCCTCCTCCTCCTCCTCCTCCCGCCTCCTCCCGCCTCCTCCCGCCTCCTCCCGCATCCTCCCGCCTCCTCCCGCCTCCTCCCGCCTCCCGCCCCCGTGTCTGTCCCGTCCCCTCCCGCATCGTGCGCATCTCTTGGGCATGCATGTCGTCTGCGGTTCCTGTCTCCGATCTCGCCGACTCTAGGCGGCTGAGATATGCGACACTGTCGCCATGTTCGAGGGCTGCTGGCGGGTCCAGCGGAGTGGGGCACCGCGCAGATCTGAGCGGGACCTCGCCGTCTTGGGGGTGCTGCGATCTGCGACATTGTCGCCATTTTCGAGGGCTGCTAGTGGTCCAGCGGAGTGAGGCACCGCGCAGACCTGAGCGGGACTTCGCCGTCCTTGGGGGGGCTGCGATCTGCGACATCGTCTCCATTTTCGAGGGCTGTTGGTGGGTCCAGCGGAGTGGGGCACCGCGCAGACCTGAGCGGGGCTTCGCCGTCCCTTGGGGGCTGCGATCTGCGACATTTCCGCCATTTTCGAGGGCTGCTGGTGCGTCCAGCGGAGTGGGGCACCGCGCAGATCTGAGCGGGACCTCGCTGTCTTGGGGGGGGCTGCGATCTGCGACATTTCCGCCATTTTCGAGGGCTGCTGGTGGGTCCAGCGGAGTGAGGCACCGCGCAGACTTGAGCGGGACCTCGCCGTCTTGGGGAGGTTGCGATCTGCGACATTTCCGCCATTTTCGAGGGTTGCTGGTGGGTCCAGCGGAGTGGGGCACCGCGCAGATCTGAGCGGGACTTCGCCGTCCCCTGGGGGCTGCGATCTGCGACATTGTCGCAATTTTCGAGGGCTGCTAGTGGTCCAGCGGAGTGAGGCACCGCGCAGATCTGAGCGGGACCTCGCCGTCCTTGGGGGGGTTGCGATCTGCTGCATTTCCGCCGCTTTCGATGGCTGCTGGTGGGTCCAGCGGAGTGAGGCACCGCGCAGACCTGAGCGGGACCTCGCTGTCTTGAGGGGGCTGCGATCTGCGACATGTCCGCCATTTTCGAGGGTTGCTGGTGAGCCCAGCGGAGTGGGGCACCGCGCAGATCTGAGCGGGACCTCGCCGTCTTGGGGGGCTGCGATCTGCGACATGTCCGTCATTTTCGAGGGCTGCTGGTGGGCCCAGCGGAGTGAGGCACCGCGCAGACTTGAGCGGGACCTCGCCGTCTTGGGGGGGGCTGCGATCTGCTACATTGTCGCCACTTTCGAGGGTTGCTGGTGGGTCCAGCGGAGTGGGGCACCGCGCAGATCTGAGCGGGACCTCGCCGTCCCTGGGGGGTGGCGATCTGCGACATCGTCGCCACTTTCGAGGGCTGCTGGTGGGCCCAGCGGAGTGAGGCACCGCGCAGACCTGAGCGGGACCTCGCCGTCCTTGGGGGGCTGCGATCTGCGACATTGCCGCCGCTTTCGAGGGCTGCTGGTGGGTCCAGCGGAATGGGGCACCGCGCAGACCCGAGCGGGACCTCGCCGTCCCTTGGGGGGATGCGATCTACGACAATGTCGCCACTTTCGATGGCTGTTGGTGGGTCCAGCGGAGTGAGGCACCACGCAGATCTGAGCGGGACCTCGCCGTCTTGGGGGCTGCGAGCTTCACGAATTCCGCTCGCAGAAGTATATGCGCCCATGTCACGTCATCACCTCCGTATAACGTTTCCCAAGGTACTCATGCCCCGCATTGCGCAGGGGTTGGGTACGTCGCCAGGGTAATGTTGGGGGTGGAGCACGGGCGCTTAGTGTCATTACCAAGCCCTCAAGCCCTGGGCCAACGCGGAGTAGACGTGGTCCAGTATGGCATCCATCTGCTGATCGGCGAGGGGCGTAGCATGCTAGATCAACTGCATAGCGTAGTTCACTGCGGCGGCAGCCTGGTGCCAACTCACTTCTGGGAGCTGCGGTCCCACGGGCAGATGCGTGGTGGTAGGGGGGTGGCTCCTTTGGCCAGAGGAGCGCGGGGGTCTTAAAGTCAGCATGCGCCACAACACCCCGGAGCACAGGCCTGTGGGGGGGAGATGGGGATAGAAGCCAAGGGCGCGAGGATTCTCCCGCCATCCCGCGAGGCTTCGGCTGACCATAAAAGAATCAAGAACCGATGTGGTATTCTTAGCTTTGTGCGTGGCCGAGGGTGGGGCGTTCAAAGACATGGTCGCTCTCGCGAGAAACTCCGAAAGGGGCGAGGTTGAGCCCCCCGCGATCAAAACTGGGAGGGACAGCTGATCTTGAAGCTGTCCTATCTGAGCAAGCAAAGTTACATGGATGGCAGACAGACCAGCGGCCCCTTCAAAACAGGCGTTGGAACGATCAGACTTGGGGGCCCCGGGAGCCTCCAGGATCACCCCGGGCAGACGCGCAGGATCCGCTCCACTGGGGAACTCAGGCGGCTGGACTCCCAGGTCCAAGCCGCCCCTCACTCACACAGCAGCCCCAGACACGAGTCCTCCGTTGGGGCTCACGGCGGCAAGGGTGATACACGCGAGCCACCCTGGGCGAGGCACCATTTTTTCACGCACAAGATTATCTCCTGCCGCAAGTCTGCACCCCTGTGCACATGCAAAAGTGACTGCCTTAGCTTGGGGCGACTGTGAAGGATCCTTCATCGACTTCCAGCATGACCCGTTGATCGTGGCCAGCGTGTACTTGAGTGCGTCACCCCAACGGCTTGCTAGCCGCCTGGGCCGCCCCAGCAGCCGCCTTGGCCTTCTTGGCCTCGTGGCCGTCTCCTTGGATCTTGATCATGCCCACTCCGACCTGCTCCATCGCCAATGCTGCGCGGGTGAATCTGGCCTTGATGTCCATGGACGTGCCATCGGGCTCTTCGTCGCGTGGAACCACTTGTTCCGCTGCCAGCCGCTGCTGGCTCAGGGGAACCATCGTGGGCGGTCGACTCTGGTTCTCCGTGGGGCCGCTCTCCAATAGGAGCGAAGCCATCCGCATCATCCTGAGACATGGGAGCGGGAGCATTGGTATTGGCCAACGCTTCCCCTCCTCCGCCTTTGCCCGCCTCGTCATGCTGCCGATGTGGATCATCGAAGAGGGCGGCGAGCTGTTCCACTTTGCTCGGAAGCACTGGTGGCTCGGTGCCTCCACGCGGCATGCGCGCAGCCCGGGCACCCTGCAGCGTCTCCAGCGGGTCTGCGTCCTTGGCAGCCTACTGCATCGCCGCTTGCTTCGCCATGTTGAGCTGTGACTCCAACTGTTGCACCTCGATGATGGTGGTCTCGATGTCTGCCACCATCTTAACGTGGCGCTCACTGCATTCCACAACGTGCTCAGCCAGCGCGACTTCCTCGCACTTGGCGTCCTCGAGCTTCTGACGCTGCACTGACAGCTGGTCCGACAGTGACTGCGCCTGCTGCTCGAGACTCTTGTTCGACATCACCTGGGCTTTGGCTTGCTTGAGCTTGCCGATGGCCGCCTGGCGCTCATATCCGCTGGGCTTCCACTTCTTCCAGGACGTGACCTGCACCTGAGCCAGGGCCACTGGATCATCATCTCGCTGCGAAGCCGATTCGTCTTTCTCGAAAGCGACTGCATCACGGCGAGGCAGCCTGAACGGTTTCTTGGGCCCTCGCGACGACAGGCGCCATCGCCCTGGCTTGTGGGGGACAGGGCCGTCGCTCTCCGAGCAAGTTCGATCCTCTGCCCCGCCACCGCCGCCTCCACCGGCACCGCCACCGTCTCCAGCAGCACCGCCCTGGGAATCAGCCTTGAACTTGCTACCACACTGCACACAGTGACGAGCATGAGAGCTGTGCCACGCCCAGCTAGGAGGAGGAGTAGGAGGAGGATAAGCGCCACAGGGAAACCTCAGGCTGGTTCTAACGTAAAAAAGGAGGAGGCGGAGAAGCATCCGCAGGAGGAGGAGGAGGAGGAGGAGGAGGAGGAGGAGGAGGACGGCGGCTCTGAGACGGCAGGGTGTGCTCGGAAGGGGCGCCGGGGCGCGGGCGACGGGAGGCGGCGCCAAGTCTTCTCACAAGATCAGCCCATCCTGCGAGGCCTGCAAGACTGGGAAGAAAGCAAGCACAGCAGCCGCATGCAATGTTTCGGAGGGCCGCGCGGATTGATCGGACTGGCGCTGGGTCCGCTTTGGACGTCAGCGCCGACCCAAGAAGTCTGCGCAGACCTCCGAACGCTTAGGTTAACTCTGTGCCCTGCTCTTCTCCAGGAGGCATCCTAGAAGGCAAGGGCCTCCAAGAAGCCCGGGGCCTCCTTGAATGGCCGCGCCCCCGGAGGAGGAGGAGGAGGAGGAGGAGGAGGAGGAGGAGGAGGAGGTCCCCGGACCACGCTGCGGGTCCCTCCAGGCCAGTGTTGCGAGCCGCGCCGTGCCGTGGCGGCGAGGACGCCCCAAGAAGCCCTTGCAAGGCGCAGGCGCAAACCCAAAACAAAAAAGACAAATAAACAAAGCAAAACAAAAAAGCGGGTCGGCTCCTCGGTCCCTTCTGCACGCCGCCGAGGAGAACATCGTCGTGAAGATGCTCCAGAGGCACCTCGACTTCGCCGACTGCTTCATGGCGTCGGGGCTCTCGCCGCCGCAGAGCAAGCACCTGGGCCAGTCGGCCACGGCCTACATTCGCCAGGCGACGGACCAGACCTTGACGCCACGCCCGCCGCCCCACTACGAGGCGGCCTCCTGGCAGTAATGCCTCCCTCTTTCGCCACGGTCAAGTCGAGACGGCCCTGCTCGCTTTTTCTGCTATCATAGTTCTCTTAATATTCGCTATCATGTACTCGTTCGGATTCTCTTTACCCGCCCCTCTCTCCTATCCTGTGGTATCTTCCTTTGTCGATGCACAGTGTCGTCCTGTTCGCCCCATCAACATCCTTGCCTTCGGCGCTGCTTACTGCCACTGCTTCCAAGACAGCTTAGACAGCTTTCACAGGGGGGTCGCGCAGCTTCTGCACATCACAAATTGTCTCGGATGGGCTCGTTGATTTTGCCACTTGTCTGTGAGGGCTTGTGGTGGACTAGAAACGTCCCTGGAAATTTGCTTTGTCTGGGAGGGCTTGGGCCCCCTCCTTTGCAGCCACACTGGGGCGTTTGGGATGGATGTCACTGGTCTTCTCCCGACCTCATGGAATCCGCCAGCACCTCGAAGAACCCGCCAAAGCCTCTTGGAAACACCCAGGACACTGCCCCCACCCCTCCTCCCTCCTCCTCCTTCTCCTCCTCCTCCTCCTCCTCCTCCTCAGCCTCCTCCTCCTCCTTCTCCTCCTCCTCCTTCTCCTCATCCTCATCATCATCAGCATCATCATCATCATCAGCGTCACCATTCATCATCATCATTATCAGCATCAGCATCAGCATCAACATCATCACCATCATGATTCGTCATCATCAGCAGCATCATCGCCGCCATCATGCACAACAACAGTAACAGCAACAGCAGCAACAAGAACAACCGCAACATCAGCAGCAACAACAACACATCAGCAACCACCTTATCATACTCATCATGATAACCATCATCTTCAACACCATCCTCATAAACAACATCAGCAACATCAGCAACAGTTGCATTGCCATCTTCATTGCCACCATCATCATCAGCAGCAGCAACAACAACATCATATTGCTCATGCACATCATCGTCATCATCCTCAGCATCATCATCATCATTGGCATCATCATCATCATCATCATCATCATCATCATCATCATCATCATCATCATCATCATCATCATCATCGTCATCGTCATCGTCATCGCCATCGTCATCGTCATCGTCATCAGCAGCAGCAGCAGCACCATCAACGTCAGCAGCATCAGCATCGTCGTCGTCATCGTCGCCGTCATCAGCAACACCAACACCAACACGAACACAAACACCATCATCACCATCACCAACACCGTCACCGTCCTCGTCCTCGTCCTCGCCCTCCTTGGGGGCTGCGAGCGGAGGCCGCCCGCCCGCACTGCAGCGGACCTCCTCCTGCGAGAGACCTCCGCGGGCCGACTATTGCCCCTGGGCGGAGAGGAGGTGCCCTCCTGCCCGGCCGCCGGGGCACCGAGGCTTCGCCGGCCCCGGGCCCAGACAGGATCGCGTCGTAACAAAGCAGGACGGCAGGTCCTGCGTGACTCTGGGCCCTTTTGGGGGCCCTCGCCGGGCCCCGGGACCCTCAAGAAACGATTTGGGATGAAGCACCGGCCCCGGGGAGCGGGTCTGGACTTCCGGGTATACACCCTAGGCGATGCTTCAGAAAACGTAAGGTTTCGGCCAGAGTCTTGATTATTCTTATTGCTTCAATGGAAAACCTAACTTTTTAGTAGAAGTCGGGGGGTTTTATTCAAATTCTGAGACTATTAATTTCTTAACCCATGATTTCTAAAGCATTTCGCAGGGTGTACGCTGCCAGGACGTCGCACGTCTGGGGGGGGGGCGGGCCCCTCGTGGTCAGAGAGAGCTCCGGGGGGTGCCAAAAGCCGTGCGGTGGCCCAGACCCCCGTCGCGTCGCGCAGAAAATTTGCTTGGCATCGCTCGGACGTGTGCATTGTTCCTTCGGCGAGGACCATCGAGGAGCATCCTTGATCATTTGGCGAAAAAGCCACGCACGAGACCGCAAAAAAGCACAGGGAATGGACGTCCGAGCGATGGCCAGCTTGGCCCCCGGGGGTCCTCGCCCGGCCTCGGTCCAGGCCGGTCCAGGCAAAGAGCCGCGCGGGATGAAAAGCCGGCCCCGGGGGGTGGGTCGAGACCCCCTGGGGGTCGACGCTATGAAGAAGTCATGACGTCGGGTCGTGTGTTGCTACAAGTGCCCCTGGGCCAAGGTGTTGCTACGAGTGCCCCTGGGCCACCCCGAGAATCCTGGGGGTACCTTGGGCCAGGGGCACTTCTAGCAGCACCCGATCGGGGGTCTGGGGCCCGGGGCTCCCCAAAGCGTGCGGTGACGCACCGCGCGGCGACCTCGAGATGCCAAGAGGCCTCGGAGGCCGCAGCCGCCCGAGACGTTCTCGGGGGAACGGCACGAGTGCCAAAGCCGTGCGGTGGCCCCGGATCCCCACCTGGCTCACCACGGCGTGTTGTCATCACACCGTCTGGTCGGCGTCCCCCCAGCGACGCGCGCACCGAGAAGTCTTAGAGTACGCGCGCGTCGTGGCGGGCGCTTTCTGGCCACACCGCTTGGGAAACGACATGGCAATACCACAAGACAGGTATACTAGATGTTCGGTTCGGACGCGCGCCTCCAAGGAAAACATACAGCACCAGCATGTCATTGTGCGTAGACAAGATGTTCGGGTCGGACGCGCGCCCCCCAGGAAAACATACAGTACTAGCTTGTGATCGTTTTTTTATTCATTGTTTTGCCGATCGGCGCGGGCCCTCGCACACACCCCTCTCCCCCCCGTGGAGTACATCTTGGCTGTTTTTGGCGCCTGTTTCGAGCAGGCGGAGTCCCTACCGCAGGACGCACGGTCCCAAACAGTCTCACTACGCAGAGGTCTGGAGCCCGACCCCCCCCTTTCCGCCCCATGTCGATACGCCGAATGAAAAAAGCTCACCTTCCTGGGGCCCCCCGAGCTATCGCCTTCTCCCCGTGCCGGACTCTGCCCCCCGCCCCCCGAGACCCCCCCCTCCCCTCTAGGAGTTCCGGTGCCCGCCGCACGCCACGGCGGTCGGCCGTGCCGAGCCGGGGCCCCGAGACCACTCAAGAGGGGAAAAAACACACAGACACAATTAATCGTCGATTCCCCAGAAAATATGGGAAAATATGGGAAGTGGGGGGGGAAGACAGAAACCCAGAAAATATGGGAAAATATGGGAATATTTTTATTAGTGTATATTTATTTGTGTGTCTCAGGGCCCCTTCAACCACGAGGTCGCCCGCAGCCAGAAGTTTATCGGCTGCGGACTTCGGGCGCGCCGCCTTTCGGTCGCGACCGGAGGGGGCCGGCTCTCGGTGGCGAAGAAGCGGCGCGTCGGAGTCCGAGCGAGGGTTTCGAGGCCACCGAAGGCTCGCGGGTTACCGGCCGGAACGCTCTCAGAGCGTCCTGGAAAGCTCTGGGAAGGCGGCGGCGCCCGAGACATCCTCCAGAGCCGCCGCATCTCAGAGATTCCCAATGTATCCTCACCTTAGTGGGCCTTGGAAACGACAGGGCCGTTTTTTTACCAGTTCCGTTTTGCCGTTTTGTTGCCGACTCCGCCGCCGTTTGTTTTCTTGCGGGTTCCATGTTGCCGGTTCCGGTTCTGGGTTCCAATCGCGGAGCCGTTTTATTGTTGTTTCCGGTCGCCTTTGTTTTTTACCGTTTCCATTTTCCCCCAAAAAAAACATGTTGTCGACAACGGTAAAAAAACGGCCTTGCCGCTTCTGGGGCCCACTAAGTTCCTCACCCGATTTTATCTTCGTCTTGGCTTCGTCTTAATTCGAGCGTGCTGGTGCAACCCCCATTCGGTTTTGCTAATCGATGCGCATTTCGTCAGATCGGTGCCGTGCGCATGTGGGGCGTCCTTGGGAACCTTCACTGAGGGTCGTGTTGCCCAGGGGTCTTCCGTCAATCTTCGAATGAGCGTGGGAGGATCGATGATTGCCGGATCGCCGGTTTCTCGACTTCTCCTCACCCGATGTTGTCCTCGTCCTGGCCTCGTCTTACCCGTCCGGGCCCCGCCTCCTGGGACCGACAAACTGGCACAACGTAAGGCTCGAGTGTGCCAGCACTCGGGTCTGCCGCCGCTGTCGGACGAGCGCGCCTTGGATTTTGACGCTCCGGCTCTCGTGGGATGTCTGCAGCGGGAGGTTGCGCCAAAGTTCAGACTGGGTCTCGTCATTTTCGTGATGGCCCCTGTCATGACAGGCCAACCCGAGTCCCCCGAACCCGAGGATTACATCTCCCCACGCAGAGAGTGGTCCGCGCGTGGCTTTGGGCCCCGGCGGCGTGCCAGGCCAGCCGCGGGAGCGCGGCAAAGCGGTGTGCGAGCGGCGCGCCCCGCGGCCTTGGGTGGAGGGAACGGCGCGGGAGAGCGCAGGGGCAGCGCGAGGAGGTCCAGAAGAGGACGAGACACCCACAGTTACTGCTGCCCCTCCCTCGGTTTCCCCCTTTCGAGGGGGCCTCCTGGGAGGCCCTCGTCGCCACCGCTGGATTCGCCTCAAGATTCGGGTCCGAGCGCACCCTGCTAGAGGTCTGGGGAGAAGGAAAAGCGGCGTCAGTACCTTTTGGTTGCCCCAGGGGTGGGCGACCTGCAGTACTGAAAAGATCGGGGCGTCGGGAGTCAAGGTCCTCTCCCTCCTTCAGGCGCTAACGCAAAGACGTGCGTGTACAGGAGCGTTCGTGGGCTGCGAGGGAATGCGTTGCGGGAACGTTCGTAACTCGAGGTTTGCCTCGCAGACTGGGGGGGGGCCATATTTATGAGGTTGATAAACCTCCTACCCTGACACGTCGATTAGCGAATTGGCCGTTTTCGGTTCGCGAGAGGGCGTCGCGGCCGTCGTTTCTGCGGGTCCAGGTCCGTCGGTTTCGGTCCCAGGCCGTTTTCACTAAAGGATGGTTTGCTAAAGGGAGGTTCGTCCACCGCCGAACACTCGTGCGGGTGCTGGCCAGAACTTCGATCGATGGAAATCCGTTTGGGGATGATGTGGTCGGCGTGCTGAGGGAAAGCGCCGATGTCGGCCAGATTTGGGGCCCCAGAGGGCCTCCAAACCCTTGTGCTCCTTGTTTTTTGGTTCGGACATGCGGACAGCGCCGACGTCGAGAGTTGATCAGGAGGGGACAAAACACACACACACACACACACACACACACACAGACACAATTAAACGTCGACTCCCAGGAAAGTATGGGAAAATATGGGAACTGGGGGGGAAGACGAACACCCAGAATATATGGGAAAAGATGGGGAATCCTGGGAATTGTGTGTATTTATTTGTGTGTATCTGGGCTTCTTTAGTTGATTCCCGCGCATGTGTGCACGGCTGGTCGCGCACGTCTTTTGTGGCTTCTCCCCACGGCGGGGACGTTCGTGAAGGAATGTGTCCAGGAGGCTGCAGACCCCGGAGGATCCCTTCATTCGTGAGGGCGACGGTGATATATCCATGGCCGATCCGCGGTTGGAGCCCCACCGGCTTCCAAACCCTTGATTCCTTACCTAAGAGTTCCTTGTCCAATGCCCCCACCTTATTGCGAAGGCCTTACGGCCGGTGCCGCCGACCCTGAAGATGAGGACGTTGACCACGACGAGGTAGGACGAGCAGGGGGGAGGAGCCACATAAGGAGGAGAAGGGTGAGGAGGATGGGAAGGAGGAGGTGGAGGCAGAGGCAGGGGCCCCCACCGTATTCCCGCTCTCCAGGGAGGATTGCGATGTGCGCGGGTGCCGGGCAGGACTGCGGCCGATCCCCATCGCCTCCGGGATGCCAGAGCCAGGCCCCGGCCGAGGTGCGCCATCCTTTTGACTAAGTCGGGCCTGCCCCTCTACAGAAGGAGTAGTCAAAAATAGTCAAAATTAGTCTGCGGACAATTTGTTGACCATTTCTGACTATTTTGGAGCAGTCTTTGACTATCTCTAATTTCTCGTCCATAATCCGCCTGTGGGGGGACATGCCCGACCGAACCCTTCGATGCCAGGACCGTTTTTCTTTCTTCGGGGGCTGGGCTCGCCGATTCCAGCCAGATTCCAGGCCCCTGGATTACAAGCTCTCCCCTTCCCCGCCCACGACTCACTGACCGTCGCCGCCGTCAAGAGTAGATCATCGTGCGCGCGTGGATTTGCGCGCGCCTTCCCCCCCGCAGGTGGTGACCCTGCAGAAGACGTGGAAGTTCCGGCCAGGCAACGCCAACCTCCTGGAGGTCCTCGCCCTGCTTCTGCAGGCCCGGCGTCAGCTGGCCACCCTGAGGGGCAGGGGCACCCAGGAACAGCCAAGCGGACCCTCGGGAGGCCAAACAAATCATCAAATCGATTGGGGCTTCTGACCATTCTTTCTATCTTTCTAACAGCATTTGTTCGGTTTCCGAAAGGTCTGTTTGGTTGGTCCTAGGCCTTCTTGCCCTCCTCGTGGGCACATGTAAGAAACCAGTTTGCTAATAGGTACCCCGCGACACTCTCCTATTCCATGACAGTCCCTAGGACCCATTGGAACTCTGGGGGGCCTTACGAAACCCAGAACGTTATCTTATCCAGTTGCGCTGCCGCGCTTATCCGCCACCGCGCTCGGGAAAGCTATGCAGCGAGGCGGCAGCGCGGAAAGGCAAGCAAGGCAACGTACGACACAAACAGTGCACCACACAGATCGGACCACACGCGTCGCACCACGTATTGTTCCACACTGACGTGTTCTGAGACACCAGTGTCAAATCCGGTGCCCGAAGATAATAAGCCGAGTGTCCAAGGGTCACGGGAAGAGGACGAGGAGAAGGAAGACGATGAGGAGGGTAGGAGGAGAAGGAGGAGGAGGAACCTTCGGACGCGAAGTGAGTCGAAACAATAATTCAAAAGGGGTCCTGCTCGGCGTTCAGGAGAGCTTATGGGACTGTTACTGCGCCATGGCGCCCGTCTTGGGGCTTCCTGAAGCCTCTCGGATGCTTCTTGGAGCCTGTCAGGGTCTACTGGGGGCCTCGTGGGGCTTCTGGGGGGCCTCTTGGGACCTCCTGGGGGCCTCACGGAGGCCTCTTAGGGGCCTCGTGGAGGCTTCTTCGGGCCTCTTGGGGCCTCTTGGGGGCTTCTCGGGGGCCTCGTGGAGCTTCTTGGTGCGTCGTGGGGGCTCTTGGGGACGTGCGGGTGGCCTCGTGGGGGCCTCCTGGGCTGTCTTGGGGCGATCGTTGGAGCCTCTTGGGCCGTCTTATGCGATCGAGATTAGACAGGCGAGAACGCCAACAATGCACTACAACCGTCACGCGCTTGACAAGTTGATCACCATCGTGGGGATTCTGGGCGAACTCTTGGGGCCGTCGTGGAGGCTGTAGAGAGCCATCCCGTCCGACGTGGAGGCCATGTTGGCTGTCTTGGAGTCCGTCTGGGGTCATCTTGGTTGTTTGAAAGCCTTCTCGAGGTCGCCATGGGTGCGAGGGAGGGCGGCGGGGCGGCCAAGCTGGCGCCCCAGGGGGGGGGTCCACGGGGCGCGCCTACACTCACATCAATTGTTGAGAATTGCCTGGAAGGCCAAAAACGCCAGGACCTGGAGCGACAAAAATGAATGCGTGTTGGGCTGGGTGCGTCGGGGGCTATAAGTGCTGCTTCGCAGGAAGCGACAGTGACCAACAACTAAGGGCCCGACACACCAGCCGCTGCAAGCGCTGTGGCGGGGATTTTTTGCGTGCAGCACATTTGTTGCCGTATACGTGCTCTGAAGCATCCGGTACCCGTGCAGAGTCGGATAACCCAATGTAGGTTTATTTAATCGTTTCGCTCATTCCGCCAGCCCACATTGTATCGCTGGTGCTATATGTTTGTGTGTTCGTGGCGAGCGAGAAGAAGTTGGAGGAGGGGGAGGAGGAGGAGGATGAAGAGGGGAGGATGAGGACGAGGAGGCGGTCTCTCGATGGCTTCTTGGAGTATTTTTGGGGCCAACCCTGGTCGTGGACAAGACGCCTCTTTGGGAGGCTGCGTGGGGTCTCTTGGGAGGCCTCTCGGGGGCCTGTTGGAGGTGTTTTTGGGGCCTCCTGGGGCCTCTTGGGGGCCTCTTGGGGCCTCCTGGGGGCCTCTTCGGGCAAAGATGTCGAAATGCCCGTTCGGGTCCCCCGTCTGTGCCCTCTCTTGGAGCCGTCTTGGGGGTGTATTGGGCCGTCTTGGAGGCCTCTTGGGCAGTCTTGGGGCCATCTTGGGCCGTTTGGGGGCCCTCTTGGAGACCTCTCGGGCCGTCTTGGGGCGGTCTTGGGGGCCTCTTGGGGCGTCTTGGAGCGTCGGAAGCTGAAAATACGAGAACGCCAAAAACCTTCAAAAACCAATGGAAAATCAACGATGTTTGCTTCTTGGGGCCCCTTTTGGAGGCCTCTTAGATGCTTCTTGGGCCTTCTTGGAGGCCTCTTGGGCCGTCTGGAGGCCATCTTGGGCGTCGTGGAGCGATCTTCGGGCGTCTGGGGCCCCTCTTGGACCATGTTTGGGGCCTCTTGGGGCCCTCTTGGGGCGATCTGGAGCCCTCTTGGGCTCCGAAACAGAATTCCGGCATCTCTGACCCCTAGTCTGCCGGGGATCTGCCGGGGATCGCCCGGGGTACTTTTCGCTCGGGGACCCCCAGGGGCCGCCCTGCGCGCGCGAACTAGAAATACTGTTTACCTGTTACCGGAGATCTTAGCACGCCCTGGCCCGTTGGGCCGGCGAATTTACCCTGTGAACATGCAGCGATATCGTTGGAGCGGCCCCTTCGGCGCACAACGCTCCACAAACCGAAGGGCTTCTGCGGACAGGCTGACGTTGCCAGGCCGGTCACGTCGTGATTAGTTTGACTCGGTGCCAGTCGACCTCTCGACCCTATCCTGGGGCCAGGTGTTTTCTCCCAAACAGGCTTCTGGTGGCCCCAGGGGGGCCGAAAGCTGATTCCGACCAACCGAAGTTGCGACACACAGCATGCCTTGCATTGTTGCAAGGCGTTGCAGGCCCGGGTCAGCGTCGACCCGAGCGTCTTCGACCAGCGTTTCGAGGCAGGCCATGCCGTGGCGACGAGGGCGCCCCTGGAGGCCCACACGGGGCCAAGACCACCCAACGTCCAGATTGCGCTTCCTCACAACACGGAGTATGAGTGAGCGCGGAACCTAATCACTGAGTTGCTGCATTGTGGAGGTGGAAGTTATCATGTGCACGCTGTAGAGGGCCAGCGATGGCGTGCAAGTTATGTGGCGCAAGCTATGTGGCATAAGGTATGTGGTGTACGGTTTGGGTTGTGAGCTATAGGGTGTAAGCTATGGAGTGTCAGCTATGCTGTATGAGCTTTGTGGGTGGTCTATGGAATATATAGATATGCTGTGCGCTATGTGGTGGCAGCAAGCAATGTGTTCTATGCGGTGCGAGCTATGCTGTGCAAGTTCTGTGGTGTGAGCTCTGTGGTTTGAGCTACGCGCTGTAGGCTGTGTGGTGCAAGCTGTGCTGTGCAACCTATGTGGTGGAAGCGCACGAGGTACCCACGAGCGGGCACGGGCGCCAACGCGGCGAAATCTCGGGAAACCCACCCAGCGAACGGGGCGTTCACGAGGCGCTCCTCCTCCTCCTCCTCCTCCTCCTCCTCCTCCTCCTCCTCCTCCTCCTCCTGTTCCTCCTCATGCTCCTCCTTCTCCTCCTCCTCCTCCTCCTGCTCCTCCTCCTCCTCCTGCACCTGCTCCTGCTCCTGCTCCTCCTCCCTCTCCTCCTTATCCACCTCCTCCTCATCATCATCATCATCATCCTCCTCATCCTCCTCCTCCGTTTCCTCCTCCTCGTCTTCCTCCTCCACCTCCTCCGCCCCCTCCTCCTCATCCTCATCCTCGTCCCCCTCCTCCTGCATATGCTCCTGCTCCTCCTTCTCCTCCTCCTCATCATCATCATCATCCTCCTCATCCTCCTCCTCCGTTTCCTCCTCCTCCTCGTCCTCCTCCTCCGCCCGCCTCCTCCTCCTCCTCCTCATCTCCTCCTCTCATCCTCCTTCCTCCTCCTCCTCCTCCTCCTCCACCCTCCTCCTGCTCCTCCTCCTCCCCCTCCTCCTCCTCCTCCTCCTCCTCCTCCTCCTCCTCCTCCTCCTCCTCCTCCTCCTCCTCCTCCTCCTCCTCCTCCTCCTCCTCCTCCTCTTCCTCCTCCTCCTACGAGCAGGCACGGTCGCCAACGAGGCGAACCTTCAGAAAACCTCACCCAGGCTCGGGGGGCGCCCACGAGCGGGCCCTTGGCGCCGATGTGGCGACAGCCCGGGAAACCATCCAGTTCTTGAAGAAAGCCAGAGAAGAGCCCTTAATTGCAAGTTCTGTGCAGTGGGGGTCCATGCCAAGAAACACCCTGCTTGCCTCCAGGGTGCCTTGGGTTTCTTGGGTTTCGATGGCTTTGCTTGGAAAACGTGACGTTCCCACACCAAAAATCAATGGACGTCCTGGGGTCTCAGGGTTGGGTTTCTTGTGGAAGATTTCTTGTGGACTGGCCTCCACTGTAAGTGCAAGCTCTGTATGGGGAAGACGCGAAGGGCAGCCAGGCCAGCAGGGTTCATGTCGATCCGATCGATCCGAGTCGAGTTATCGACTCCAGCGGGTCCGGTTCGGTTTGATCCCGATTGTCGGGCGATCCGATGCAACCAGACGTGTGCATCTCGGCGCCGCGGACTCGATTCGATCCCGGTTCCGTGCCGATGCGGTCCGATTCGACACGTGTTCCGGAACGGTCCAGTTTACCGATTCGGTGTTGGTCGATCTTGGCCCAGCCGCGGCTCCGCAGGCGCTGCGGCGGAACTCCAGGTCCTACCAGTCCTTCCCCCAATCGTTGCGCGCCGCCGTGGAGCCCGAGGCGGGCTGGCAGGGGCCCGAGGCGCGGAGGAGCCCCGCGCCGTGGTCGCTGTGAGCGCCGCGGCCCTATCAGGATGTGACGCTTGCGCGCGCGAGGGATCCTCCTCCTCCTCCTCCTCCTGCTCCTCCTCCTCCTCATCCTCCTCCTCCTCCTCCGCCTCCTCCGCCTCCGCCTCCTCCTCCTCCTCCTCCTCCGCCTCCTCCTCATCCTTATCCTCCTCCTCGTCCTCCTCCTCCACCTCCTCCTCCGCCTCCTCCTCCTCCTTCTCCTCCTCATCCGCCTCCTCCTACTCCTCCTCCTCCTCCACCTCCTCCTACTCCTCCTCCTCCTCCTGCTCCTGCTCCTCTCCTCCTCATCCTCCTCTTCCTTCTCCTCCTTCTCCTCCTCCTCCTCCTCCTCCTCCTCCTCCTCCTCCTCCTCCTCCTCCTCCTCCCCCTCCTCCTCCTCTTCCTCCGCCGAGAGAGAGAGGGGGACTCTCGGCCTCCCTCAATTGGGTCGAGAGGAAGAGGTGCCGATACCGCTGCGCTTTTGCCCAGGTGTCCCCCCCGCGGGTCCTCCTGGGATGCCCTTGTCGCCACCGTTGGGTTCTCCTCGAGATTCTAGTCAGAACGCACCCCGGGAGAGGTCTGGAGAGTGGCGACATCCTTCTCTTCTGTCCATCTCTCTCTCTCTCTCTATCTCCCCCCAGGCCTCCCAGATGGGGACGGAGGTTTGCGCCGCATCGCCGATGCATCGGCGATGCGGCTCGATGTGGAGCCCAGGCTTCTCCACACCGACGGCGCCGATGCATCGCCGAAGGCGGCGATGCATCGACGATCAAGCAGTGGCGAAGCGTCCTGGTTCGCCTATAGCCCCACCAACAAAAATTGTCGAAAAAACTTGTGTGGCTTCAGCGAAATTGTATCAGAACATTTCTGGCTGAGTCTGTCTTGCTTTAGCACGTCGGGCTTATGCTATAAGAACCTTGTTTTTCTTCTAAGAACATGTTTCGGGTACCAGGAACATCTCGTGGTAGGCCTCGTAGGCAGGCTGGGACGGTCGGTCCCTGCTCACATGCCGCGTCTGCTCCGACCCCGTCTGGGAGGCCCTCCGGGGAGACGGCGGGGGCGCCACGCGGAGACGGAGGCAGCCGTCGGCGCGGCGGCGCGAGGGGCGCGGCGGCGCCCCTGTCGGTCGGGCGAGAGAGGGCGGGCCGCGAGCACCGCACGCGCGCTGGCAAAAAAAGCGGCAGGAAGAGCACGGCGGCGGCCCTGCGCCACGGTGCTCTGCCCGTGGCCGTGGCGCCAGCACCGCAGAGCGGACGTCGCCCGGAAGACGGCGGGGTGGGCCCGGAGTGTCCCGCAGAGGCTCGCTCCGGAGCTCGAGGTGCATTTCGTGCGGACTCTTTGGGGCCAGGATCTTCACTTCGTTTTTCGCTCGCCGCTTCGGGCAGAAATCCACGCAGAGATCCGCTGCAGCACGTCTGCAAGGCCGGTGCAATGACCTCTGGAGGAATCGTCAAAAAGAATGACAAAAAATAGCCTGGGGGCGATGTTGGGGACAATTTTGCAGCATGTTTGGAAAACTGTTTGACAATGTTTAAGTTTCCTCCGAAATCCGTATGTAGGAGGTCATGCCCGACCTACTGTTTGGGGTTCTCGGCAAGGGAAACTCAGCCCGCGGCGAAAAGACAGTCCCGGAGATGGGGGTGGGGATGGGGATGACGATCAGAAAGCCGTCCTCTTCCCCCCTCTCCGGGCAGCACGGCCTGCCCGGCACCAGCGTGGCGGCTCGCCGAGATTCTCCCGAATCCTCTGGAGTTGTTTCGCGACCTTTTGGTGCCCTGGATCCTTTGGAGTCCTCTTTTGCATCCCTCTTTTCGCGAGCTCTTCTGGTGCCTGGCCCTCTCAGCGACCTCGTTGGATCCCTTCCTCGCGCAGAAATTCTCTGGCATCCTTTCTGAAATCCTCTGGACTCGCTTGCTCTCGTGGTCCTTGAGAGCTCCCTGGGCCCACGCGACGACAACAGCACGGCGGCTGGGCCTGCAGGCGGCGAGCGCAGGAGAGGCAGGGCCAGGGGGCGGCGCTCTGCGGAAGCCCCCGCCTCTCGGGAGGCGACGGGCGCATGGCGTTAAGTCGGGCTTGTCCCTCTACAGGAGGAATATTCAAAGATAATAGAAAAATCGTATGGAGACGGTTTTGTTTACTAAGCTGAACATGTTTGCATATTGTTGGCTAGTCTTTTGATTTTTCATCAAAAATCCCCCTGTAGGGAGACATGCCCGACCTAAGCACGGCTGCAGAGGCAGACCTTCTCCACGAAGGCCCCCCATGCCTTCTTTGCGTAACGCTTCACTCTCAAACTCATGGGAAGTGTTCGTTCCATGGAGCCAAGGCTTCGAGTTCCAGATTCTGAAACAATCGCGCACTGCGACATCTGAGTTTCAGCGCTCCGGCGCCCCCGCCGAGCTCTTGGAGGGCCGCCCCGCCCCCCCCCCCCCCGGGCGAACATCGGCGAGCGATCTGTCCAGCGCCCGCAGCTGCCACAGCAGCGGCCAGGCAACGCCCGGCGGCGAGGCACGAGCCGCGCGTCATCGGCTACAGAGCGGAGGTGGGCTCGGGCGATCGTGCGAGGCGGCAGAGAGTGGCTCTGGACTCGCTGCAGGCGGGGGTCGTGCGAGGCACCTCTCACTTACAGTGCAGGGTCCAGCCAGTGCTTAGCAACCAGAAAAGGACCCCCATGCCTGGCCTTGCCTTAAGTCGGGCATGCCCCTCCTCCACAGGGGGAACTCACAAATTGTCAAAAAAATATTCAGGGGACGATTTCTCGACCATTTCTTAAACTATGTTCAAGCATCTTTTTACCCTTCCACTTTTTCGCGACCAAAATCCGCCTGCAGGAGGGCATGCCCGACCTGAGAGCAACCACAAAAGGACCCCCTGCCCGGCCTGGCCCTGCCCTCTCCGGGGGCCGCACCCCTCCTTCGGGCCCCGCGGGCTCGCCGTCGGGCAGACTCCGCGGCGGGAGGCGCTGGCCGGCGTCGCCCACTCGTCGCGGAGCAGCGCAGGCCCAGCCACCCCAGGTCGGCGCTGGCCTCCCTCCACTTCGCACCCCCCCTCCTCCCTCCTCCTCCTCCTCCTCCTCCTCCTCCTCCTCCTCCTCCTCCCCTCCTCCTCCTCCTCCTCCTCCCCTCCTCTCCTCCTCCTCCTCCTCCTCCTCCTCCTCCTCCTCCTCCTCCTCCTCCTCCTCCTCCTCCTCCTCCTCCTGGGTCTCAACCAATACCCCGAGGCCTCGGAGGTCCCCCAGCCCCGCAAGGGCAGTGGAAGGCAATCGTTCTGTTTGGTCTGGGTCACCCTGGCTTGCGAGATCCAGCCTTGTGCTCCCCCTCCTCGGCGGCGAGCGAGGGGGGGGGAAGGAGAAGGAGAAGGCCTTCTCAGGAGGCGGCGGGACTTCTCAGGAGCCCTCGCGCCTTCCGCGAAGTTCCCCTGTGGCTTCGGGGAAGGCTCAGAGACCTTCTCGGAAGGCCGGGGGGCTTCCGAGCCTTCTGAGAAGGCACGCCCCTTCTCACTCGCCTCCCCCGCAGACAGAAAAGCTCTCTCAGAAGGCGCGAGGGCTTCCGAGAAGGCCAGCCGCCTCCTGAGAAGGCCTTCTCCTTCGCGTTTCCCAACCCCTCGCTTGCCGCCGAGTAGGGGGAGCACAAGGCTGGATCTCGAAAGCCAGGGTGACCCGGACCAACCAGAACAAGTGTATTCCTTTGCCCTTGCGGGGCTGGGGGGCCTCCGAGGTCTCCGGGTGTTGGTTGAGACCCAGGAGCAGGAGGCGGAGAAGGAGGAGGTGGTGGAGGAGGAGGAGGAGGAGGCGGAGGAGGAGGAGGAGGAGGAGGAGGATTTGTCCCCCTCCTCCCCTTCCCCCCCTATGGCGGACGCCACGTCCGCCGTCGAGCAGCAGGGGCGCGGGCCGATCAGCATGAATCGAGCCTGGTCCGCGCCAGCATGCGAGAGAGGCTTTCAGGCCATCGCCCCCGCTCAGGACGTCCATCTCCCGTGTGCCTATCAGAAATCTTAAGAAACGCATGCGTAGCACCCCGCAGATGCGGATAAGAGTGAGGCGGCGGTGGGGACGTCGGCAGATCGCGAGACTCTGGAGAAGCCCGCCGCAGGCGCCACAGTTTCACAAATTCTACAAGGAGCCCGCCGCAGGCGCCGATTTGTTCGTTAAACCAATGTGGGTAGGTCGCGGGTGGGTCGCAAATGGGTCGCGGGTAGATCTGGCGAGCGGGCATGAGGCACGTCTTCCACCTGGAACCGAGGCACGGCACGGCGCACTCTTCACATTTCGGGACTTAGGCATGGCACGGCACGCGGGCACCGCGCGGCACGGCACGCCCTCCACGTGGTAGAGCCAAGGCACGGCACGGCACGGCCTTTTTTGTTCTCACACGTTTTGACCACGGCACGGCACGGCACGCGGGCACAGCACGGCACGGCTCGGCATTCCGACGTGTGATGGCTCGCATCTCAGCTCTAAAGTAGAAGTGTCTACAATGCACTTCGGATCCCTTACAGAATGCGTTGCTTGTGGAACTGAATGTTTATCCCTGTGCTTCATACGCTGTGTATTGCGTTGCCCCCTAATGCGGGCGATCCGATCGGGCAGTCTTTCAACATTGCAGCTCCGAGCAGTCGAATCCAGGAAGCCCCCAAAAAGAACACTGACATACAACAGGCATGGGCCCATCCGCGCAAAGTTCGATGACACCAGTGATGCTGACAGCTCGGCAGGCGCAGGCACAACATCGAACATCCACCCCGCGCGGTCAGGGCCAAGGAGCAAATCCTTTCAGGATACTTCGAGCCCTGAACACCAAATGCCCCTCCCCCTGTCCCCTCTTGCGAGGGGGGAGGAGGTTCCGTAGCCGTCCCGGCTCGAGCGCCGAGGTGCCCCTCGGGGCGGACCGCCTCGGCAGCTGTCGGGAGCGCCCGCCCGCCCTGCCTTGCCAGGACGTGCATGGGATTGGCCGTCTTGGCGTGGCGGGCGGCTCTCCAATGGACGGCCGCTCCGCCCGCGGCGGCGCG